TTCAGCTTTTTTTCCATTTCTTCTAGAACGAAATGAGTGTATGATAAATGTATATAACCAATACTTAAACTAAAATTCGGTAAGAATGACATTTTTCTCAATAGAAATCGTGAGAAAGCTATAGTGGCCCTATTTGGAAATGTTTTTATCATATTTCTTAGTCAAAAATTTCTCATGAATAAAAAGTGCTAATCGCTAACAATTTTAGAAAAATAATTCGGTTCATTTTGAAAACTTGATTGAGTATAATTTGTCCAAACTACAAGTCTTCGATTATTCAGGAGACGAATGCCTTGGAGACTGTACTTATTTCTAATGTCAGGGACTGGCTGCTAACATATTTATATAGAACGAGTCGCCTTCGGTTAGCAAAAATTAATGGTTAGAAGCGGAGTGTAATCGAGAAAAAGGAATCGATAAAAGGCTTTAATTATCTAGACATTTTTAAAAAAATACACTGTAAAGATGTAAACGTGGTGCAAAGGAAGTCATAAATCTCTTTAAATTATTTTAAAAAATAACATGTTATGTTAGAATATAAATTATTTCATAACGTCATTCATCCTTTGTCTTTGACCCTTGGGCTAGAAATCAAAGATACAAATTCAATAAGACAAAAAAAAAATAAAAAATTAGGCGATAAAATTATATATTTGTTATAATTTCTATTCACATTATAAAAATATATTTATTTAGTGCCTATTTTGGATCATTGGAATTTTTTTTTATCTGCTGTTTTTTAACGTCGCATCGACTGCCAGGGTCATTAGCGACGATAGTATTTCTTAAATATAACTTATTAATTTTATTTGTTGAATGTACTTGAGATGTACTTAGGCGTTTTTTCAACACCAGTGTTTTCTTTGTACGGTGCCTTGTCATCAATTTGGAGTTCGATTCGCTGTTCCCTTAATTTTTTGCACTGGAATATGTGTTTAACTGTCAGATCAGCATTTTCATATGCCTCACACGTTGGTCGATGTAAGCCAAGAAGTAGGTGGAGATGGTTCAGTTTGGTATGTCCAATCCTGAGCCTGCTTATTATAGAACGCTCTTTTCATGTCAGGTGTTTTGGAGGATACCAAGCTCGATTTTCGTCTATTGTCAGATGAAGGTGATTGCGCGGCAGTAATCTCCACTGTGCATTCCAATTGTCGTTCACTTTCTTTGAAATTTCTCTTGTCCATTCGTTGAGAAACATCGACCCTAAAACAGATGAATCTGTGATTCTGGCGGCTTCCTTTGCTCCCTGATCGGCTCGTTCATTGCCAATTATGCCAATGTGCGGGTACCCAAAACAATATTATTTTTTGTTTATTTTTAATTAGTTTCAAGTTCATAAGTTAAATTTTTTTGTGCAATGTGTTACATGTCTATGTATTTTGCAGTCCCTTGATTGCAGATAAGGAATTGGTCACAATGACGGATTTCTCAATATTGGTGTTGATTACGTATTCAAATGCCTTGAAGTTTCACTTGTGAAAATTGAATTATTGTTATTTAATTTCCTTTTTTTTTTTTTTATATTGTTTTGGGGTACGATATAGTATCCTACAGCTTTCTCTGATTTTGAACCGTCCTTAATAATTATGTCATGATTATGGATGTTATTGATTAAAAAATAAAAAATAAAAAATCAACATTCAATATTTGAATTATTTTTTATGATTGATTAGATATTTTATGTTTTTCTAGTTTCTGTAAAGTTGGTAAAACGTTTTGCTCTTTTTCGGGTTGGGGATAACATTAACGCTTAACGCTTAACATGTTTCTTAAATATGTTTTGATAAAAAATCTACGTCTTTAAATATTGTGAAACTCAAGACTGAGTTGTAGAGATACAGGTTATTTTGTTTTTTGATTCCTCAAGAGTCTGGAAAAAAAATAAAAAAAGATTCTGCTAGAAAGTGAATTACAGTTAATACCACATCTAAAGTGAGTAAGTTTTCTCGAGAACTCTCTGATCAAGCAGCGTATACTCAATCTTGAATCGCATCATCACCACTTCTTTGCTCGGGCAATCTTAGCCATCATAGCTCCCCGTTGGACTTATTGCTCCATCAACTTTAGCCTATTATAGCTTGTGCCGGTCTAGATATTTGGTGCCGTGACGTTCACGTAATAACAGTGTTATGTGTATACAACTAATTGCACTAACTAAATCTGTTCGCTACTTTACACATTCTTACTCGTTCTATGGGCTATAGAAAATATCTATGCTATTTGTCGCTATAAGTGTTTTCAAGAAAGATATACAGTACTAATCACATACTATATACAGAGTTCTGTATTCGAAAGCGAATGTTGAAAAAGAGTAAGAATTTATGAGTTTGCAATTGATTACTGATTATTCGATAACTCCCATGAATATTAACAGATTTATTTGTAATTTAAATTTACAAGTTAAAAATATTAGGTTGAATCATCGCTGATCAAACATGTAAATTTGATTACTCGGTGAATAAAATAATCATTACTCTTTTACTAAGATTGTTGGTGGAATTATTCATCTCCTTATTCTAACAGATTTTTTTCATAAGATGTAGACATAAGATGTTCAATGAAGTGGGATGGTTTTCTTTGAGATATTGTTATCAATTATTAGTAGCTTGTTATCAGGCTCTAGCTTCCTGCCTTTCCCTTCTGACCTACCTCTCTTCAGTTGATCTTCGTGCCGCTTGTCCGCCCTCGTGGAAAATTAGCGACTGTAGACAATGGTATCTATCAGTGCAAAGGCAGTTGCAGAAAATCCGCGTTCTTCCATCTTTATCCATCCGCCAATCATTATACAGTATCCTCTTATTTAAAAATATAGTATAATGAATGAAAGTCCCTTGTCCCATTAGTCGATGCCTTGTGTAATAATCGTCCTCTTGTTTCTGTCGATCCTTCCAAATATTAAAATATACTCCAGCCTGTAGGTCCATTTCAGGACTCCATCTGTTATTGTGAAGCTTCCTCTGCCGGTTGAAAACGGTTTCCTTTTTCCTTCAGTCTTGCACATTTTCTTAGTGCTAAGAATTCTGTCCGATTTATGCAAGTCAGTCTTGATGAATACAGGCATGGTTGTTATAACACTCTTCCTTATTGGAGTTGAAGAGAGCATTATAGAACTGGCTCCAGTTAAATGTAAGCGTCCGCAGTTTTTCAGACGCTGCATTGTTGTCAGATCAATGGACATGGCATAACTAGAAAATGATCCGTTTCAGTTCTACCCCGTACGAACATTGAAACGATATTTGGCATCTCTTGAAAATACTAAAACACAATTTATTAACCAGTCCGTACTGACTGTGGAACTTCATCTGTTTACTTTATTTCTGACCAAATTTTTAATGTGATGTTTTAACCAAACTAACAGGCAAACAGTCCATATAGAAAGTCTAAGTTAAATCAATTACTTCATTAAGGAAGCCAATTGATTGACAAGAAATAAGCTGCCCGCATAATATATATATATATATATATATATATATATATATATATATATATATATATATATATATATATATATGTTACTGACAAGATAGCACACAAACAAAACATGTAATTGTAAACCACAACCATTTTAACCAGTGTAACAATATATTTATAATTACCTCTATATCTACCCTTACATCGTAAACAAAAAACTACGAGCAATTCTGATGATGGGAACACATTCCCGAAACGTTAACTTGTAACGATATATGACAAATATACTGATTATATGTCACAAAGAAATTTTATTTTTCTAATCTCATCAATAGTAATCCGGAACCTCCCTTCCTACTAAAGAAGTAATATGACGCTATCGTTTTTAAGCAATTAATTTATAAAATAAAATTAATTCGATCAGTACAGTTTCCTAAACCTATTTATCTAAAAACCACTAGTTCATTTGTATTGCTCAGGTTTTCCATACCTGAACTGTGTTTAAATTTATCGGATTCAAGTTAATTTACGGAATAGTATTGAGTATTATAGTGTTGTATACTATAGTATAGTGTAATGGCAGACTACTTTATCACCGCCCTTTTAATTTATGATCTCTAAAATAATTATACAGACCATTTAAATAAAGTATTTTTTATTAAATCTTTATAATATCAACTCGTTAGTTGCCTTATATAATTAGAAAGTGGCTTTATTTTATTTCTTATTTTTTTTTGTAATTCCAATTTAAGTTTTCACGTTCTGCAAAGGAGGGGTTTAAAAGCTAATTGGTACCTTATATCTTCGTAACTAACACGTTGAAATTATTATTTTTTTCTATATTCCAATTTACTCTAATTAGGCAGTATCCATATGAAAAAGTTAGGTTAGACACGTGAAACAACAACTACGTACTTAAATATGTATCGATACTATTTCAAGAACCATTATACTCTTAAGGTTATGTATACACACATTTAAACCATTTACTCCATAGAGAGAACAATTATTTTTTATTACATTATCATTATAATATATTGTAAAATAGGAAATTTATTCCTTGATATGTTTTTATTTAATTTGAAGCATTGTTACGGAATCGACTCTGTATAAAACAATCATCCATTCACTGTTATGCACAACAGCAATAAATTATAACAATAAAATGAGTAATGGCAGTAAGTTGGCTAAAAATAAATTCATGGGATCAATAATTGTGATACTTCAGATGGTAGTGGGCGGTCTTTCCTCCCCCCAGCCCTGGGAGGAAGAAAATTCTGTTTTCGCAAAATATATTTTATATTACTTACGAATTTATATTATAATAATATAAATAATATTTATAATATAATATAATAAATAATATTTATTATTTATATTATTTACGACATTTCTATCTTAACTAACTAATCGTGTTGAAACTATTCTCCAGACGTTTTGATGCTGATACGTATTTCGTATGTTTTATTATGCTTCGTCCGTTCGTCATCATGCCCTTATATATTTGTTTTTATTGTCTCATAAACACGTGTGCTCATTCTGGTTTAATCAGTGGATGAGATCTGAATCTGTTATAAGTGCTTGGCATGTCGGGCAGAGGTAGAGGCGGATTCACACGTAGTTTTTGGGAGGGAGGAATTATCAAGGTGACCAAAGAATTTTAGACAAATATTAGCCTGCCTATTATTCAACAATTAATAGATATTGATGCCATTTTCTCTGGTTGCAAGCTACTAGGTGCAGATCCCAACTAGGAACCAGTTGAGATCCGTTGCAATCGCTGCCCTGAAATACATGGACTGGAAAGTGAAATTGGTCTTTTCACTGACTCAGCAAGGAAAGCGTAACGAGGATTCCACGTCCCGGTCAGTTGCATTGCTGTGACGTCAGGAGGCTCGTATCCCACTTTATGGTGGGGAAAAAACTGTTACGCAACAACTGGGTTGATAAGTGCTATGTTATAATGCTATACATGAATGCGTATGTGTAAGTAAATTCGGAATTCCATTAACAAAAAATATTTAGCCGTAACTTGATATCTTGTTTCGCTGCTGGATCAGCGGGCGAGGGGAGGGTGGTTTTCGATTTTTTTTTTCTTCCAAAGTATTTACCAGTTAAAAAAAAAAAAAATCATCTTCCTCAAAAATTAATTCTGAATCCACATCGGCATCCGCTTGTTAAATTTGTCAATTAAATGTGAAACATCAATTTCTATTTTTATGTTACTGATTTTCTCTCTCTCTTTGTAGTTCAATTATGTTAAGAAAATGTATTCAATAATGCATTGATATTATGTTCTCTGGCTCCAAGTAACTAGGTGTCGATTACTGCTTATATTTATGATTTTCGTGTCAAACCTAAAGGAATAGTTGTGAACTGTTCTTCTGTTAATGCATCAGTACCAAATTCCAACATATGCTACGATATTGTTTTATTTGATTTGTAAACGTGGATGAAAAGAATACTGCAACTTATATCTTTCGTAAATATATGAAATAAAATTCACTAAGTATATTTTTGATAGGCCTAAACTTTTAATCGGCTATCAATTTTTGTCATAGTTTTCCAAGTGAAAAATTGGGAAAATACTTAAAAAGAGAAGAAAAAACATTGAATGATGACAAACGTTTATTTTTTTAAAACCTTTAATTGATTTTTTTATTCTTGTAAAAATTAATTCATCTTTAATGTATCCCTCCCCTCATTCATCTTTAATGTATCCCCCTCATTCATCTTTAATGTATCCCCCTGATGATGGCCTGAACTACAGGGCGAAACGTCGGCATATGTAAAAATAAATATTATCATTTATTTTTGCCTTCTTTTTTGACTGACCATCCCAACTATTCTTCTCTTCATCTTTAATTTAATTTAATTTTAATCTTGTAAAAAAAGGGTATCCCTTAAACAATTGGAAACCTAAGAAAATCATAAGAATTAAAACTCATATTTCGACTTTGAATCATTTATTGACATTTTCTCAATCCTCTAACAAATTTGATTATTTAAATCAAACTGTACATAGTAATGTTATTCTATTTTTATATTTCTTTTTTCTTAGTTTAATAATTTATTTTTATTTATTCCTTTTTTATTTCTCTATTCGATGTGTATATGGTATTAATGAACACATTTAGTCCCGTTACTTGTTGCTTTTCAATGTGGCTGATTGTATTATTTACTGTTCAATAAAAAAATAAAAAAAGTTAAATGAACTATTTTATAACTGTATGTATTTATTATTATTATTATTTGGTTTAGAATAATTTATCTTGGAAAACACAATAATTTACTGCGAATTGAAAAAAAAAATTCTTTGAATGAGCTTTGAATGGAATAAATTACTGCGGCTGGTTTGTTCGAATTAATGAAAGACTTCTCGCTTTTTTTTTTTTTTCATTTAAGCCTTACCCACTGCCTGTATTTTTTTTTTTTTTTTTTTTTGTATTAATTATTAGTTTCGCTGGTGTAAAGAGTTACGCATGTCTATTGCTGAGGTCCAAAGGCTCTTATTTTAACATTTTAAGCGATATATTATCCCGGGATTTTGAGATGCATTTGGCAAACAAAAAGAAATCGGAGTATAACATTCCATCCATATTTGAGAATTTAATATCCGTAATTATCCTTTCTCTATTCTTGTTTCTATGTTAATTTCGTTAGAATATCTAAAAAAATAAGGAATATCTTCCGATGGAATCAATTTACAGGCGCTCTAATTTAAGCATCATGCTAGTATTCATTGAGTGTCATTCAGTCATTCATTCAAGTGTCATTGAGTATTGTTCAAGTGATTAGTTCGTTATTGGGTTTCGTCAGCTCATTCAATCTTTTTTTCTCCCTTGTTTTAAGGAGAAGAAAAAAGGTTTATTACCCTGTTCTTAATATGTTAGCCCATTGATGGGATATTTTATATCTCTTCTTGAATAATTCCCTTTTTTTCTACCTTAGTATGAGTGCAAACCCTCCCTTTTCGTTTGTAATATTTGGCCGGAATAAGTGTTGACTTCAAAAAACAAACGTGGGATTATGTTTTTCCACTTTATTTGTTTTATTCTGACTCGATATTTTAGTTTCTCTGATATATTTACAGGTGATTTGAATATTTTCGACTAATATTGTGAAGACCTAAGAACCGCGTAACTCAACTGTTGGCCTATACCAGGGGTCACCAAACTTTTTGGCCCATGGGCCACGTTGAGATCCCCACCAGGTACCGCGGGCCGGATTGGGATATCAACTTTATTAATACTTTTTTTATGATAAAAAAAGATGCCTTTCTTTACAAATGATCCTCTTCTTGTGAAATGAGCTTTTTACGAAAAACAACTCACGGAATAAATGTTGTGGTGTGTTTGAGTAATTTACTCAATTTTATATATTTTTAAATTATAACATATAATCAAGGAAACTTTCGTGGGTCGTATTAAAGGTGCTTGCATGTACCTTGAGAGCACGCAACAAGTCAATGTAGGCCGCATTTCGCGTTTTCATATCTATCGTTAAAACTAAAATCGTTTTTTTATTTATAAATACATATTTTGTGCAATATTATCTACTCATAGTGGAAGCATTACAGTAGATATTGGCTTGAAATAAAGATGTTATGTAATTTCACCCCATGTAATACTTAATGGTATTTCTTCAATTTCCAATTTGGGTTTTTCTGTTTTTAACACGTCCTAAGATCTCAGATTTCATACCTATTAGTTCAAGGGGGAGAAAAAAAAAAAAAAAAAAATATATATGTATATGTATATGTATATGTATATGTATATGTATATGTATATATAACATATATATATATATATGTATATGTATATTTATATGTATATGTATATGTATATGTATATGTATATGTATATGTATATGTATATGTATATGTATATGTATATGTTAAGCGTCTCCGGGCTTTAAAAATAAAAAAAAAGAAGGAAAGAGGAACGAGAAACAATACTCACGGCTTCTGAATAAACACTGCTTTATTCGTCCAATAATCTGCCTTATATACAATTGCTATGTTTATTTACATTACAAGATGGTATTAAGGCTGATATCGCCAGTCTCCGGTCTTTATCTCCCCCCCACCAGTTTACGAATAGGATTTTCGGAAACTTATAAATTCCCAGATCGGAGCCACCGGTATCAGCCTTAACCCTTTACAATTATTTGTACCAGTATAAACTTAAAGTACACCAAACCTCACTTCCACTCCGCTGGAACGAGAAATAAATAAAAAGAAATAAACCACAGAAAGTAAACACACAACGTCTTATTAACAATGGAACAGAGCTCTTAATCCTATAAAAATTACAATCACCTCTATTATGCTGCCATATCTTTATTTACAAGAACAACAAAAATAATAAAAAAAAAATGACATCATCAACAGTAATAATAATAAAAAAAACATATTTTTTTTATAATACGCGATAAGGGTACTACGAATCAATTGGTTTCTGTACCGGTTCTAACATTGGGAGCTTCAATTGTTCAATATGAACAGTTCTCCTCTTCTTAGGTTCGTTAATGCTTTCAATGGTTACCAGATTATGCTCCCTAATAGCAATCACTCTGAATGGGCCCTCGTACCGTAACAATTGTTTCCCTCTGTTGGTTCCAATTCTACGATACACTATTGTTCCGATTTTTAATTCTCCCATTCGGTCACGTACCTGCACATTCTGCCGCGCTACCCGCTTCTCCTTTTCCCGCTGAATTCTCCCCGCTACCTTCCCCCACGTCTTTCCTACCTCTACCCTAGTATTCTGGATTTGCTCTACGAGATGTTCATTGGTCGTTGTTTCCCCCCAATCTCTCCTTGGCCTGCGCATCCCGAATAGTATTTCCACAGGTGAAAACCCCGTTACGGAGTGGATCGAATGGTTGTAAGCTGTTACGGCTTTCTTCATCGCAACATCCGGCTCCAACCCTTTCTCTCCCTGATATACACGGATGTGGTCACTCAACGTGCTGTGCAAGCGTTCGATTCCTCCTCTACTCTTAGGGTGTCCCGGTGTGTTATAATGCCACACAACCTCTAACCTTTTCACCTCCTCCCTAATCGCGGTATTGTCGAATTCTCTACCACCGTCTGATGTGATCCTCTCGGGAACTCCGTAAAACTGTATCCAGATTTGTAGGGCTTCCGCAACTGCATTGGCAGACTTGTCCATGACCTGATGTGCCATAGCTACTTTACTAAAGGTGTCGATGATCGTGACCCACTTGAACCCTTTCCAGGTGAATGTATCGATCTGGAGGTCTTGTAGCGGCATATTCCCTGTAGGTGTCTCTTCCTGAACTCCTCTGGGGGGGTGTCGATCATACTTTGTGCGCATACATACCTCGCATTTCCCGATGATTCCTTGGATAGATTTTTTCATTCCCCACCAGAAATACTTTCGCCGTAATGCCTGCAACGTCTCGTTGACGCCTCGGTGGTTGGTCTTCCCCTGGTGGTATGCCAATGTAATTGCTTGTTGCTGCTCCTCATCCTGTACGGTTTCCACTGCATACTTGCACCGGATGATCGTTCTATCCATGCCTATCCGCTCGGATCTCCACATCCGCTTTATTTTCTCCCATACCGTGTTGTTCCCAACATAGAGATGGTGTGTCTTTCCCGGTTCCGTGGCGTCCTTCAGTGCCGTACGGATTTGCTCCTCGCTCACCCCGGGTTGCGACCAAATGACGCGAATCCTACTTTTCCCGTATCTTCGGTAATCTATTTTCATGATCCCTGTTGTCCTGGTTTTCCAGATTACCTGTCTATGCTTGTCGTTGATGATTTCGTCTATTTCCTCCATCGCCTCTGGTCTTTCCTCCGCTGAGCTATCTTCTTCCGGGGACCCCTCCCTGTCCTCTATACTGACGGTATCATC